AGATCTACTGGATGAAAAGAGGTTCGCAATTGTGCTATTTATATCGGCTATTTATTAACAGAATTATAAAGTTATTCAAAAGTGTTATATGAAAATTATAATTTATTTAATTCATATGAACCAATAATTCATAAAAATTTTTTTTTAGATGGGACAAACTGATCGAGACATTTCGACAAGAAAACTACAGATTGTTTCAGTTAGCGAGTCAGAGCGTATTCACAGTAGCTCTACAAGCTGGTTTGTCGGCTCTTAAAACTCCCCAATGTTATAGCGCGAATAAGGAAGGCCGAAATCCTAGCTGCCCTGTTTGCAACGAAGCATTAAATGAATTAGCCGCACCGTTGCCTTTTGCTCATTGTTCTCAATCGCGACTTGTTTGCAGCATAAGTGGGAAACCACTAAACGAGTACAATCAACCTATGATGATGCCGAATGGATATGTGTATGGTGAACAAGTAAGTTTAAATTATTGAAATATTAATAAATTAAATAATTTATAATATTACAACTCTTAAAATATTAATATTATGGAGAATAATACTCTAATAAAATATATAATATAAAGATGATATGCAATCAATATAAAATACAGAAATAATTTTAAATATAAAAAAGTACTATTTTATTACAATATTAAATTATATTGTACAAGGAAGATTACGCATGCATTATGTATATGGGTATGTGCATGTATTGTATATAACATGTGACAAAAATTTAATTTTAATAATATATCGTAATTAAATATACAAAAATTTACTTTATAATTTCTCTCTAAAAAAATATTTTATGATTGTATTTTTTCCAATGTTCGTACTTATACTTTTTGTTGTAGGCATTGGAAAAAATGGCTCAAGAAAATAATGGCACTGTGATCTGCCCAAAAACCAAAGAAGTATTTCCGTATAAAAAAATTGAAAAGGTTTACGTAATGTAAACTTTCGTATTGACACAAAGTATATACATATGTTGTACTATATGCTTGACGCTCATATATGGCCCCCTCTTTGCTCCGATCTTTCTGTTATTTAACAATAATTGTATACTATACTAATAATACTGGAACGAAATAACATCTATTTTTAAGGAAAACTTGATCGACTTATTCACATCCATCCTGTATAAAAAAAAATGTAATGAAGAATATTACTATAATTATATATCTGTTTATATATAGTATAATATTAATTATTTGTTAACGGGGATAGTTAATCCTTATTCATTTATTTAACGTTCTTTCTACAATAAATTGAACGGTTCAAACTGTTTTCCATAAATCTACTTATTCATAAAACGCAACCATGTATTTCTTATCTTACAAGGTTCTTACATATGTAGGGGTTTATCAGAATTCATATTTTGTATTGGATGAAAAAAACGGTTTTCTAAACATTGAATAAATTGTGCTAAAATGATGCACAAAAATATAAAAAATTTAAATTTTCTGATGTTGAAGATTAGTAAATTATAAAAATAATGTATGTAAAACTCGCACACAATTAACTTATTAACTTAATTACTTCTTTTTTCTAAAAATTAAACCTTGAAAATAATTAAAACCTAATAAGAATGAATTTTTACAATGTTTAAAAAATAATTTAAATAACTTTATGTATATTTATTATAATTAAAAGATCTGCAACTTTTAATCACCCTACATATGCATATGTATATTTAATTGATATATTGTGCATACATTCCAACGTACAAATGATAAGACTGCTAATAATGCAGTAACAATATATGAATTAACTGATACATTAAAGATTGTTATTTTTATGTAGAAATAAATGCATATTTAAATCTTATATATATATAATATGTAATACTAATGTATGAATATTTTTAAGATTGCTTAAAATCTAAATGGTAAACGATATGCGCGAAACAATTCGTCGAATGAAATTTATTCGTGTGACCGAGAATCCATATAAAAATATTTTATCTATCCTAGTAATTTTTTCTTTTCTCTTAAATTCAATGAGTTTCCGATTTTATTGGATTATTTAGCGAATTCCCTTGATCATTTATTGTCTGTTGTTCTATATGGAGGATTGTCTTTGTAGGAATTCAAAATGTATTTTAGAATTGTCATTTTCGCCAGTATAATAAAATAACGATCGAGGTAAGACATTCCATTATTTTTCCTTAATAAAATAATGAATAGAAACACACATTTTTTATTGCGACGCAGTGATTCTATGAAGAAAATTCTACGAAATAATTTATTATTTTATAATACTATATTTTTTGTTTGGAGACTACTTATATGCATAGTCTATTGAATGAATTAGATCAATTTTCATTTAAATTTATTAGATTATAAAACCAGTATAATCTAATTTGTTTAATTCTTAGAATCACTGTATTACAAATGAGAGCTTTTTTTCTTCAAATGAGTTTATAATGCGATGAATTTGTGTTATGTTCATTGATTAGTAAAGGCTAAATCGAAAACGGATGAAAGATACAATGGAGTAATATGCATAAGTATAAGTTGATAGAGATAATAGATGTATTATAGAGCTTACATTTTAGCATAATTAAAAATGCATATGTAAATGCGAACGAATAAAATTCGTGCTTTTGCTGAAATTTAAATGTATTTTATATCTTATATAGAGTTTCTGTTTAAAAAGTATCTCATCATATATTCTCTAATATTCGTTCGGATTTAGTAGTTCTCTTATGAGTACAAAAGAATAGAATTTAAAACAAAATCTGATAAATTCAGTGAAATAGAATTTAGTGAAATTTAGTTGAACATTTTTCAGGAACATCTTGTTTATATCATAATGCAGTATAATATCTGAACGAAAATCTTGTACAAAAAAATAAAATATAAAATTATAAACACGTTTAAAAGTTGTATCAAAATGTATCTTGCACTAAAAGTTAATATAATGCAATTATAAATAATATATATATATACACAATAAAATTGTTATAAATAAATTTCAGTTAGAACAGATAAAAAATTGTTAAATCTGTGATAATGCTAAGGTGATAATAATATTAATATATATGTTTAGTACAAACTTCGAAAAACATAAAAAATAGATATTTAAAGCTTAAACTGTAATCTATTTAAAAATAATCTTTAACAAGAGCAATGTATGTTACAATTGAAAAAAATTGTGGAGATCGTCCAGGTATATACGGCTTAATGGAAGAGTATTATGTATTGTACAGCTTAATCTCAAGACCATTTGCGTAAAAAAACATAAATTTCGTCGCTATATAAAGCATAAATAATATAAGCATACATGACATCTTGTGTAGAACACGAAGAAAAAAATTACGTAATTATTATAATATAACATAATCATAGCCCGAAAAAATGTAACTATTTCCAATTTCTAAAATTGTCGCTCATTAATCTATAAGTATAAGGTGGAAAGCTCGTCGTCAAAATTGTGAGGGGGACTAGTATCAATTGGATGGCCAACAGTCTTAACTCTCCTGCATCTCATGACGTAATATAACTTGTTCCAACTGTTGGAAAACAAATAATTCTCATAAAAGCATACTAAAATTTAACTTGAACCAACCAAATAAAAATATTATAAAATAAAGAAGTAGCGAATTTGTTTTTTAAAAAATGACTTCATTTTGATTTCTGAAAAAATGTAAGAGACTGCGATTCTTATGTAAATACAATCATCAATATTATATGATAAGAATATTAAATAAAGTACTAAACTGTATTAAAAAAGAAGTAAAAAAATACAACCTTGTAATTACAGAATAGAATGTAACGCTACAAATAATATGAAAGTTTATTATGAGACTATTACATCAGATCTTGCTATATTTTATTATGATGTAAAGAAATTATTAGACTTGGCCTTTTATTTTGTATTACTTGTAAATTATTATGTTAATTTTATTTCACCAAAAATTTAAACTGTAGAATTCAAAGAATTTTGAGGATTGTAAATTTAATGTTAACAGAAATAAAATTATATATGTATAATAAAACAAGAAAATAATGTAATATATAAAACCAATTTAAAAAATAATACGTTACATAAATTTATGTAACGTATTGTTTTTTAAATTAATTTTTGCAATATAAATAACCTGCGGTTGATTCCTACGTGGCCTTGTATATTACATTATTTTCTTGTTTCATTGTATCAATTACAGGAATTTATAATTTATGAGTTTAATTATTATTATATGTGATTTCTCATGAAATTGCTACCAAAATTAAAAATTGCCTCTCTTTTAAAATTAGTTTTACATTATTACATATCTATAGTTATAGTAATTTCAAAATTGAAATATTTTCTGCAGAGAATTCAGCTTGACAACTTTAGTAAACTCTATTTAAAAATGTAATGCTTATCTATTAAGAGATATATTCTCGTCACGCGTTTAACACCTCATAAGAGAGCACATTCGACAACAAGTCTATTAAATGTTTTTATTCTCTCTTAAATGATTGTAATAAATAAAAAATACGTTTAGCGTGTTAAACGCGTAACGAATTACAGGTTTAAATACGTGATCTTCCTGATAATGATTTAGCGATTTCTATTTGCACAATACAAAAAATGGAGTGCCGCGTAACTTTTTTTTTTATTAATAAGGCTTATTGGTCCGGTTTTAGTAATAGGGGCAGTAGTAATAATAGTAGAGAATTAGTTTCTATAATTCTTATAAAACCATGAATTCCGGGTATTTCCTATACAAATCTATTGTATGAGACGATCATTTTATATCATTAATGCACTTTACATGGTCTTAATTTACTTTCGTATCTATTTCTTCTATTAATGGGACTTTAAAAATTATCAATCAATAGAAACTCCAAGTCACACACTTATAAAAAAACACGCATTGCTTTCAAATAGCTTTTACTTAATTAAGAGTTCGTTCTTATATAGTTGTTATTTAAAGAATTGTATGATTATATATTTATATATATGTAAGTATTTAACGTATATATAAGCAAACGAGCATTCTCGAAAAAATTTCTCTTATTTGTGTCGAGGAAAGTAACGTTTTCTTTTCTGAAATGTCTATAAATGTTCTTTTTGAAAGTATCGTGCAGGCACTTTTTGTACTTGGTACAGTTAAAAATGTCATCACAATGCATGGAGTACAGATAGGTCAGTGCAAGTTCTTAAAAAAAAAAAAAAAAATAATAATAAATAAACGCTATTTGATACATGCACAGCACATGTTGCACAAAGAAAATGCTTTTTCTTTCAATCTCAATATTTGCGCTTTCCATTTTATTTTCGTTCTGATTTCATTCTTTAATCTCTGATTTCAATCGTTCTGATCTCATTTGACTTTAACCTCACAATTCTCCTTTATTTTGATTTTCGCTGTATGTACTATACGGCTGCACCGCCTCGAGAGATGATACATAAGTTCTTGTACCCAAGCACCAATTTTCAAATGTTCCGTTCAAATAGAATACGTGCACTATTTTGTAATGATGTACGTTGCGGCAAATAAAGCGTACAATGTTCTGCACCTTGCATTAAATACAGAAAGTGCATGCACCGTCGTCAAAAAGAACAAACATATTTCTTTTTTCAAGTTGTCCTTAGGAATAACATTTTACTTTTTTTCTTCAACATTCTTATTTCTTCAAGCTTTTAAATTGTTATTTCACATCATTTTAATTTGTAGTTGTGTGTGTAGGAGACTGCATTCTTAATTTGCAATATTTTTTCTAGCTCCTGAGTTAATATAAAGCATATTGCTGAACCTTATCTTTAAAACGATCAAAATTTTATGTTGGCCACGATAGAAGGCATCACCATGGAAAATAGAATTCCTGTGAAAATCCCCGTCATCAAAGACGCCGCTCCAAACATGCCAGCCGTCGAAGCATACTGTGAATCCACCATTCTAAATACAAAATATTTATCAATAGTAATATCTTATTAATAGTAATATATATTATATTAACTTTTTCCCTATTTTCCATTAATGACGCTTACCTAGGACAATACATCATCGACAATGACGACAGGTAGCCACTACTAAGGCCCATAGTAACGGCAATGACCCAGAACACATAATCATTCTTAATAAGAACCGGCAGTATTCTTTCTGTGCCAATCGGTTGATAGTTACAAATCAAGAACAACGGTATATAAACAATTCGCAGAATCACTGGAATCACCAGATATTTTTTGCTCGGCTGAAAAAGAATTAATAAATAAAAGTTAATCAATAAATAAATAAAATTGTACAGAAAATGTGTATTAGAGATATTATAAATCGTAATTTTATAATATAATTAAGTATAAAAAAAATATAAATATATAAGAATATAAAGTGTGTAATACATAAAAGTAGAGTCTACATACCCACTGAACCAACGATGCAATTAAACTTCCCAGCATGGCAGTGATATTGAATGTTAAAAAGCACATAACACTGCTATAATATTCAGAAGGAATCACAAAATTCTTATCCGAAGACTGTATATCAGATTGGACAGATGGGAAAAGCGCTAAAGTGACGAAAAAGATAAAAAATATGTTGAAACATTGTGGAAAACACGCCTTAAACACCTTCCAATAAGCAGGTTTAGATTTTCCTCTTGAATTGTTCTCTAATTGTCTTTTGTTCGTCTCTTTCTGATGAAGAAGCTCGTGATATCGATAAAATCTCTATAATTCAATTCAATTAACATATTAGTTAAATAATGTTTTATACATTTAATTATAAATTAATAAATCACCGTATTAATTAATAAATGTATGATCAACTGACTTAAAAGTTAATTTTTAATAAAAATCTTACATTAATTGGAAGTGCAAAATATGTATCAAAACAGGCCAGAAGAATAAACAAAGCCGTGATAAAATAATATATCGCGGCAGTGCGCGCGTTTGGTGCCATTATTTGAGCTAAAAAGTTTATTATGGCTGTAAAAGTTCCACTGATATTCTGAAAGAAGATTATTAACAGATATCACATTACTCTTTATCTCAGATGTGATTGATGCTAATATTTACCGAGCCTAAGACAACAGCGCCCGTGTACTTGATGGGTAATTTAGCTGCCATTCCAAACACTGAGTTTTGATAAATGCCATTGGCAGCTGAAACATAAATTATCAATGTACGCATAATTCAAATATTAAAAATCAATATTGATAATATTTATTAATAATCATACACATATATTTAATATAATAATTTCAATATACATTTTTTTATCATTTGTTATATATACATATATCTTTTTTTATATATAAATATATATATATATATATAATAGTGTTAAAAATATTAAATACTAATAAATTAACAATTACTATTAACTTACTATTTAATACAACAACAGATATCATAGTAATCCAGAAGAATATTCCAGGCCAGCCAGAACTGTCAGTCATTGCCAAAATGACAGTAAAAACAAATACTAAGACCAAAACAAAAATACTCCATACTATACGTGTTGTTAAGTTGCCTCTGAAAAATCAAGTTTCTTTAGTGTAAAACATATTATTATTTAACAACTTATATACACAATCCAAGATCAACAAGATTTATATTTATAATTGTAATTATCATTATTATTGATATTATAATAAAAGTATTTACAAATGAGAAAAAGAAATTAAATATTTTATGTAAAAAATGTATTTTATAAACATACCCAAATTGTAAAAATATATTTAGCCAATTGAATAATAAATTTGGTACTTGTGATGCAAATGACAAATATGCGATAAAATTCATCGCATAGTTTGTAGTTATACCAGTATATTCCTTCGACAATTTGTAACTGACAAAATACTGTAAACGTAATAGTTTTATACAAATACTATAATTTCAATTATAGATTATTATAAATAATTGACATCTTGACTTACATTTTTAGCTGTTATAAACATATTCCATGGCATCAAGGCACCAATTCCATGAAGTACCAATATGAAAAATACTAAATTTAATCTGAAAAAAATACAAAATATAATAAAATTTACTTAAATTAACATTTTACGTCTCAAAAAAGATGGTATTAAACTTTAGGAACTTGAAGTACTTGTGAAAAAAAATCAAAAAGTCTTAATAAGCAGTACTCTAAGCCATTTATTTCCGAGTTACAAACATTTTCTACTGTAATCATAATAAGTAGTATGATAATACATATTCCTAAAATTTTTTAAAATACTATATATATATAGTACACATAACACACACGCGCGCGCGCGCGTACACACACACACACACATACTCATTATTCCAATAAACATATTTCCTACATTATTGAAATACTATATAAATTTTATATAAACAAATAATTTTAATAATTAAATATTAATGAATTTATAGTTATACCTATCTTTAGGAGGATTCAATTCGAGATCTGCTTGATCCATTGTAACACCTTTAAAATTTAATTCGTCATCAGGTCTACCTGTACCTTCCCATCCTGGTGAAAGACGTACGGGCTCTGAACCTTAAAATCAATTCGTCAAAAATTTCATCAATATTTCACATAATATAGTATTTATAATATTAAAACAATTTAAAAAAAAAATTTAAAAGTTTCTCTATTCGAATAAAATTCGAACTTTTTTCTTAAATTCTAAGATCAAGAATTTAATTAACTAATATAAAAATTTTATAAATAACTTCTTTTTCAAATTTAGAGAAAACCAGTATTATTTTAAAAATAATACATATAATATTTAAAAAGATATTGCACATACATTTAAAGTTAATAAATTCTGACTTCTAACATCACAAAAAATTAAAAAAATAATTATAATAAAATAATTTGTTTAATATCCAAAGATGTTCGTTTGATAATGTAATTTATTAAAAATAAAAGCAAAGAAAGATCTTATATAACTAACATACTAAGATATTTGAAAGAAAGAATAAGGAAGATAAATGTGTGTGTGTGTGTGTGTGTGTGTGTGTGTGAGTGAGCCAGCTGATTACAACAAAGAGATAATTGTGTGGAGCCATTGTAATGGAATGTGGCAATCAATTGAGTCATCAAAACCAATTACTATAATCTGACAGCATGACATATACATACATGAAGTATTAATAACAATTTGTGTATACAAATACACACACACACACACACACACACACACACACACACACACACA